GTAGGGGGATAGAGGATTAATCTTCTAGCATTTCAGATGTACCCTAAAAGTAACACACTGAAAATGAATTTTCTCCATTCATTAAAGAAAGCTTCACAAGACGTAACCCAGAAAACACTCAACTTGCCATACCTATGCTAACTAAAGCAGCAAAACTCCATTTGGAAATTTTTCTGTCAGTGCAGACTAACCTTTTCAGTTCTATGAGGTATTCTATCCCCAAGAGCTCACAGCTTTACATTTCAGTAGAAGATCTGGAAGAATACCTCAAAAATGAGATTTTAGGTCCTCCTTGGCCTCCCAGAAACATGTAAATATTTGCTCTAGTTTTAGGCAGGCTGCTAAGTAATCTTCACACAACTTTACAAAATATATATATATATATTTATTTGACTATAACATAAGAAATGCAACCATTGAAATGACCTGCTACATCGAGGGGGAAAGGATATATACCTGGGAAAGTCCTACAATGCTTATACAATTTAACAACAGTATCAAATAGGATACTGTGATTTCCTTCTATAAAGAAAAAAGAAAAAACTGATCCTAGGGTCTCTTATCAACATCCAATTTCAGGAAACAGACACCAGCAGCTGAAAGAATGGGTTGCCAGTAATATGGAGAGAAAAACTAGGGATTTGCAGGGAACAAAACAAAGCAACAAAATAAAAATTCTGGTAGCCAAACAAACAAAAGAAGTCTCCAATCTCTTCCCCTGAACCACAGCCCACATGGTTTTTAAAAACTGAGCTTAATATTATGAGGTTCCTTCCTCTAGGACTTAGTTTGTTATAGTGTATTAGTTTGCAATTGGCTGCAACTGGCTAAGGCTTCAAAGGACTTAGGCCAAGGCCAGCCAAGTTTTGTTGATTTTTATTTGTTTTATAAAAGGCTGATAAACTGGCCTCAGTTGAGTAAGACGCAGAAACTAAGGACCAAGCTTTTATAAACAATCTATGACAAGGACTCAAGTGAATCTGATGAACATAAGGCAGGACTCTATGAAAAGGATAACAAAATTTAAGAAAGGTAGAAGGGAAAAGCCAAAGAAGGACAGAAAAGGGAAAGGATGTAGATGATCAGTAATTTACCAGCTTTACCAGAGCACAACCAGCTCCTCGAAAAGCCAGTCTCCTCATTATGTCTGAAGGCCAAGTGAAGCCAGTGGGAGAAGGCAGGGCTTTAGAAGTGCTGATTCAATGTTAATGTATTCAAAACTGAAAGAGAAGAACAAGGCAGAGAAGGGGGAAATAAAAAGAAGGGTCAAAAGGAGTAAAAATGATTACGAATAGACAGAAAACATTCAAGCAGAACTGCTAAAGAAAGATAAGAGAACTGGAGAAAATAAGTCTATCAGTTCTCCTGCACCAACCAAACTGCTGCAAAGGCTCAGGCACTAACAGTATCTGACATTCCTTCCATTTTAACACCAAATGCTTTTCACATGCTTAAAGATGTCTCACTGAGGTTCCCCTTTACTCACATGGAATGACTGTCAATTCCAGGAACGAAGCATGCCTGCCCAACTGCCCCCTAGTCAATAAGAGCAGAGTTCAATCACAGAGCTGGGATGGAGCATGAACACATGTGAAAGGCTCACAAGCGACACCAACTGTTAGCAAGCTGGAACAAACCAAGAACGGCTTATGGTGAGCAGTCTGGTAAACTCCTCCCCGCCAAAAAAGTCCAGAGAGAGACATTTCTTTCCAAAAGTCCTATCAGCATTGAAAAGATACTACACACAACTTTAGAAACGTTGTTGTTTAAAAAAAAAAAAANGTCTCTATTTCTTCCTTGCGAATAAGATAATCATACCATTTTTTAGATTCCACATATATATATATAAAATATACATTTGTTTTTCTATTTTTTTATTTATAGAAAATATAAATATTTTTGTTGTTGTTGTTGTTGTTTCTGACTTACTTCACTCTGTATTACAGACTCTAGGTTCATCTACTTCAGTGCTCTTACTTGCTCAGTCACTTCAGTCATGTCCGACTCTCTGCGACCCCATGGACCACAGCCCGCCAGGCTCCTCTGTCCATGGGATTTCCCAGGCAAGAACACTGGAGTGGGCTGCCATTTCCTTCTCTGTGTGTCTATCAGTTCAGTTCAGTCGCTAAGTCATGTCCAACTCTTTGCGATCCCATGGACTGCAGCACCCCAGGCTTCCCTGTCCACCACCAACTCCCAGAGCTTATTCAAACTCATGTCCATCGAGTCGGTGATGCCATCCAACCATCTCATCCTCTGTCGTCCCCTTCTCTTCCCACGTTCAATCTTTCCCAGCATCAGGGTCTTTCCCAGTGACTCAGTTCTTCGCATTAGGTGGCCAAAGTATTCAAGTTTCAGCTTCAGCCTCAGTCCTTCCAAAGAATATTCAGGACTGATTATAGTCTAGACCATATACTGTCCAAAATTACTCCAATCATTAATTTACTTTGATAACAACAAAAAGATTCAACTTAAGTATAATTTTCAAATATTTTGTCATTCAAAGAACACATTTTAACATGGACTTTGAAAGTTTGGCAAGAAAAGCAATGTGGCCAGGTGGGTGGGAGGAGAAACAAGACCTGAGCTCAGAAGTGAAGACTAATAAGAGACACAGGTCTTCCTTCTTTAATGATCTGTTTGATGTTGGGTCACAACCTATCAGATCTGTTTCTTCATTTCTAAAATGAAAACAGTAGTATATGTATCAGGGCTCAGTGGTAAAGAATTCACCTGCCGATGCAGGAGCTGCAGGTTCAATTCCTGGGTCAGAATCCCCTACAGAAAGAAATGGCAACCCACTTCAGTATTCTTGCCAGGATAATCCCATGGACAGGAGAACCTGGCAGGCTACAGACCATGGGGTCGCAAAGAGTCAGACATGACTGAGTAAGCACATACGCAAAGTGTACATATCTCCCTTGGACTGTTTTGACGATGAATGTACATGAAATCACTTTGAAATGTCACAAGGGAAGCCCCTGAAATATCAAAGTGCAACAAAAATGTTAAATTAAAACTCTAAATTAGCCTCCAACTAATATAAATATATGAAAAAAAAAAACTTAACTCTAGGATTTCATTCTCCCTTGTGCATAGGAGAAGCAATTTATCCATTTTTGTTGCCTGACTTAATAGCACAGTTTCAGTGATCAACTAATCTATTTAACAAATGTAGTAAAAGCGCACTTAAGTGAAATATTAAAAAAAAAAAGTTTGCGTAGTTGAAAAGGCCTGTGAGCATCCATTCAGCAATTATTTTTCTATAAAGAGAAAAGGAATAGATTCTGAAGCTTAGTTGCAAGTTTTTAAATGGCATTGATTACAGTCACATGTCCAAAATCTAACAACCAATGATAAATTACAGTGGACAGTAAAGAATAACTTTACAATGTGCAACTGGGAAAAAATTACTCAGTATAGCCAAATAGTGTATTCTGACAGTTTATAGACTTTTACTACTCTCCTGTATTTCCAGTGATTCTTGGTGCCGTAATTTATCTTTAACACAATAATCTTGGGAAAAAATCACTTATAATGCTGTGTGTGTTAGTCATTCAGTCGTGTGCGACTTTGCGACCCCATGGGCTGTAGCCTGCCAGGCTCCTCTGTGTATGGAATTCTCCAGGCAAGACTACTGGAGTGGGTTGCCATTCCCTTCTCCAGGAGATCTTCCCAACCCAGGGATCCAACCCAGCTGGGTCTCCTGTATTGTGGGCAGACAGCGTTCTCAGCTTTCAGTATTTGTTCTATGCTTGGCTGCTTTTCCTAAAAACTGAAGTGTGAACGAACGATATATTATGTTGCAGCCTGTGTTTGCCTTAGAGAATATTTCTGAGTCAACATTCTCGCACATGATGTTGGAAGCTTTGAGACTAGCCTATTACACAGATACAGCAATGTACTAATCTTAGGGGTTTGGGTAGAACATTAATACTTTAGGTATTTCAGACACTTCCAAAGCCCAAGAGGTCAAAACCCTTCTATTTGCCCACACAGATGTGTTACTGATTTGACATATTTTTCAAAAAATAACTTCCAATTTTTAGACATAAAATATGGGAAATCTGTTAACAAGTGATAAAGCAGAAGTTATACTGCTCTTTGCTTATGAATTGTACTTGGGAAAAGAAGAAAAGAGTCACTACTAAATGGAAAAAATAACTAGAAATCACTGAGGAGGGATAATTTGCTGGAAAACTAGTAGTAATGCTTTATTCCAACATATGTTCCTAGAATCGTAGTAATAATTTCTATATCCACTATACCATGGATCTGTCATTTGTTTTTCAGGATTCCTTCTTAATTTTTGCCTGTATTTCTTCACCCTTAAGTCACCAATATCTAACCTATAATGACGAAACTATGCTTCTTTTTCAGTAAAAAAATTTTGTTGAGATGGAAAATATTAAAAACCAGAAATGTACACAATTTTAAAACCGCGATTCTTTGTGGTGTTGCACGGAAGAAATATCTGCCCTCCATGATAAATACAACTCCCACTGATTAAAAAAACACTCAGTCCGAACAGTCATCCGGAAAATATTTTTTAAAAAAATTTACTAGGAGAGTTTGTCTCTGAACCGCCAAGAAACGACAACAAAAAAGAAGCCCTTAACCGCTAAGGAAATGTAAGACTTTCCCAACCTGTCACCGGCACGGGGAACTAAGGGAAACGTTGACAGCTTTGAAGCTGCCCGCGACGGGAGCTCGGCCAGCCGCAGGGGGCGGGAAAGCGGGGTCCCCGGGCCCGGCCTTACCCAGCCGCTCCGCCGCCTGCAGCCCCGGCCGCCGACCGCCGCGCCCCGCCCCGTGGAAGCCACGGCTGCTGCTATTGCTCCTCCGGCCGCGGCCGCTGCCGTCGCTCCAGCACCCGCCGCCCTCACAGCCCTCACCCCTCCCGGTTCCGCCGCAAAACCAGTTCCGCGGCCGTCGAGCGAACCCGGCTCCGCACGACACTGCGTGCGCGCGCACACGGGCCAGCGGCGGCGCGCTTTACGGCAGCAGCGTGAGTGCGTGACGCTCGGCGGAGGCCTCAGTTCGCACGTGGCGCCTGTAGAGGCACGTTGTACCTGAGAGTGCTGGTGTAACTTCGGGCTCTGGCCTTTCGGCTTCCACTATGAAGCGGCCGAGTGAGTGTGGTCAGGGGGCGGGCGTGGAGGGGGCGTCTGTGTCTGATGGTCGACGAACCCACCAGGGTGCTCCGTCTCCCTGATCCCGCCTAGAACTGAGGGTTGGAAGGCCCCACGTGAGCCGCGCGGTCCTGTGTGCAGAAAGTCTGGGCCCCAGGGATGAAGATCAGGCCAGAGGGTCATGAGGACCCAGTGTCTGAGCCAGGTTTCAGGCCTGGCGTTTTCCCTTGTGCAGCCTCGTTCGGTCTGAAAACACGCACTGTTAGATTTTCTTCTATGATTCGTGCTGTTTGACAGGAAGTGGCAGTTTTGGGGTTATACGATCCTGTGTACGATCCCAGTCTAATCTAGGAAGGTGGAAGTAGGGAAGTTGGATCTACAACGAATCTGTTGAGTCAGATTCTCTGGGACTTGACTGGTCCCACACGCGCCCCACACGATTCTTAAATTATGTTTCAGAGCCAGTTAATGCAAAAATGGATGTGACCTAAAGCGCGGTCATCAAAAGCTAAACAAACTGATCATTTGTGGATAAAATCGATTTTGAAAAACAGTAAACTAATCCTTTTGTGATGTGTTGCTTTGTAGAATTAAAGAAAGCAAGTAAACGCATGACCTGCCACAAGCGATATAAAATCCAAAAAAAGGTAAGTCTTGGAAGAGTTGTGAAACTTAAGTTAAAGTTGTTCAGTCGTGCCTGAGGCCAGGGATTATATACTCCATGTAATTCTCCAGGCCAGAATACTGGAGTGGTAGCCTTTCCCTTCTCCAGGCGATCTTCCCAACCCAGGGATCAAACCCAGGTCTCCTGCATTACAGGCGGATTCTTTACTAGCTGAGCCACCAGGGAAGCCTAAGAATGCTGGAGTGGGTAGCGTAGTTCTTCTCCAGAGGATCTTCTCGATCCAGGAATCTAACCCGGGTCTCCTGCATCACAGGTGGATTCTTTACCAACTGAGCTACCAGGGAAGCCTGGAAGAGTTACAGGGGTATGCTAAATTGATTTCCTGCCCCAGAACTCTGGGTTAACATGAGTATGGTTTCACTAATGGAGGTTTAACTGGAACAGAGGTCGGATACAGTGCAAGCTCTTAGGAGGCAGAAATAATTCAGTGACATGTCTGTAAATTTTGATCACCATAGTAGCAGTTGCTGCAAAAAGAATTCTGGTGACATTTTCTTGCTGTTTTATACATAAATATGCATGTTCTGTTTTATGGTTAAAGTTCTATGTTTCTAGGTTATTTTATAGATAAACTGCAGCCACATTGGCTACTCACTGGAATTCTGTTTAATATTTCTGTAAACTGATAAAATACCATTATGGTAGGTTCGAGAGCACCATCGAAAGTTGAGGAAAGAGGCTAAAAAACGGGGTCGAAAGAAGCCTAGGAAAGACCCAGGAGTTCCAAACAGTGCTCCTTTTAAGGAGGCTCTTCTTCGGGAAGCTGAGCTAAGGAAACGGCAGGTAAGATGTATTAGTTCACACTTTCAACAAGTGGTGTGTGGGTGTGTGTAAAGTTACAACAAGAAGTCACTGGCTCATGCATGTCTCTTGTGGCTTGAACACAGCTTGAAGAACTGAAACAGCAGCAGAAACTTGACAGGCAAAAGGAACAGAACAAGAAAAGAAAACTTGAAACTGACCCTGATGTTGAGCTATCTAACACAGAACCTGTAAAAGAGGTAGGGGTTACAGTCATGGAAAGTGGAAATGAGTTACATCTGCTGACCTTCTAATTTTGTGTCCTTTCCCTTGTCTTTATCCCCCAGGAATTAGGGCAATGCAAAGCTAAGAAAGCCAGGACAAGCAAACAGAATCCGAAGAGGCTGTACTGTCAGGAACTTAAAAAGGTATCGTGGTCTAGGTTAGTGTCTACAAGTGGTTGTGAAGTTTAAAAGACTGAAGAATCATCTTTTTTTTCTCCTAACACCAACTTTATAATAGAAGTGGAAGTAGAGTTCTCTTGAGCTGGAAGAATTCTTCAGCAAGTTGGCTTGGTCTGTTACATTTAGCTGAAGGAAATATTAAAAAAAAAAAAACTTATATTGTCACACCAGGTCTTAGTTGCAGCACACAGAATCCTTAGCTGTAGCACGTGGGGTCTAGTTCCCTGACCAGGGATTGAATGGGAGCCCTCTGCATTGGGAGTGGGAGTCCAAGCCACTGGACCCCCAGGGAAGTCCCCAGAAATGTTCTTGTGGTTTTAAATTTTTGCATGGGAACAGATCCCCATAGGCATGATTTACAGAAGTGGCATTTGGTGTTAAAATAACATGTTGATACAGTGGCTTTTAAGGTAGTAGTAGTACTACTCTAGTAGTACAAAAGATTCTAAAATACTCTGCCGAAACCTACATAAACAGGGTCAAGGGTGTCTTGGGGTAGCACCCCTGTCCCCAAGACCTTATTCTCCTGAGCTCACTCCCTCCTGTGAAGAGACCCTGGCTGTGTTTCTCAGCAGCTCTTGGCAGGGCCACAAAGATCTCAGACTACATGACTCAGAATGGGGAGGCTGCATCTTTAGATAATGGGAGTGTTTCCACTCTTGAGATCCACTTTGATTGGAGGCCACTGAACAAACCTGTGTCTGTCATGTAGAGAATGGTGAACACAGACATGAGATTCACCTCTGAGCTCACTCTGTTGAAAAGATAGTGCCAGTGTACTTACATGGAGGGTGGTGCCAGACTGAGTGATGCTGTTCTGATAGCTTCTGCTTTGACAGGTGATTGAAGCCTCAGATGTTGTGCTAGAGGTGTTGGATGCCAGAGATCCTCTTGGTTGCAGGTGTCCCCAGGTAGAAGAAGCCATCATCAGGGGTGGACAGAAAAAGCTGGTACTTGTATTAAATAAATCAGGTAGGTGAAAAAGGTAGGCTCTTTATGTTCCATATGCACTAATGAGGTATGAGGAAAACATCTGAACAGTCTTATTGTCTGTGAAGACTCGTAAGATCCAACTCTGACCTCATTGAAACCAGTGCATATGCATGAGCTCTTGTTGCCAAAGACAATGCTAGGCTAATAATAAAGAGTGTAAACTTTCTATACTCAGCTTACTGTGTAATATATTTCACATAGGAAATGATGACAGTGCCATATTCCCCACACCTGCACAATGTCCATATGTGGCAACATTTAAATAAAATACATGGTTATGTATCTGGGTTTAAGCAGCAAGGACAGAAACACCCAGAAACAGAAACCTGTGAAACAGTAAAGATAGAATCTAAAATTACTCCTGGGGGTCAATAAACTTGGTTGCTACCTGATAGTGTAATTCTGGAAGCATGGCCCTAAAGTTAGTACAGTAATAATCTAGAAGTTGACTTAATCCTGAAAAGGTGAGCAGTGCAGAGGAGAACTGAAGAAATACAGAGGTGTACGTACTGAATTGTGTTAAACAGAAGCATGTTAGGGTGCGGACATTCTCCCAGTCTTACAGCTCAGATACTTTTTAAACCGTGGGGAAAGGCAAACTTGAATGATAGCCGTAGCTTACTAGACTTTGCAAATTCATCTCAACAAAATGAGCAGGATTTTATTCTTAACCCCTATCAGATTTGGTACCAAAGGAGAATTTGGAGAACTGGCTAAGTTACTTGAAGAAGGAATTGCCAACAGTGGTGTTCAAAGCCTCAACACAACGGAAGCACAAAAGGAAGAGTGTCAAGGTACCCTTAATATAGTGGTGGGAAGTGTGGTTCTTTCAGACGGGTGAAACGTGATGAGCGTACAAAATCTTGATTAAAAAATGAAAACTTAAAAGATCCAACTCTGATTTCATCCAGAAATAATCTGAAGGCAATGGAATGTGGCAATTTTAATAGATGGGCTTTGGAGCCAGAGTGGTTGGGATTTGTCTGGTGGGTTATCCAAAGTAGTTAAGCATTTTGGATTTTAACTTCTGGAGGTAAAGAAGAAAGCTGCTCCATTCAAAAGTGAAGTCTGTGTTGGAAAAGAAGGCCTTTGGAAGCTTCTTGAAGATTTTCAGAAAACTTCTGGCAAAGCCATTCATGTTGGGGTAATTGGTGAGTTTCAGTTCACCATATTTTATATCTTAGCTCATTAAGTGCAGCTTGGCACTATAGGTAATGTCAGCTTCTAAGAGCTCTGATGACTTGAATTAATCATCTTTTCCTGCCCTTCCATTACTTGTGCAAGACATGAAGATACCAAGAGTGGTCTTAGTGTTGAAGTGAGGACACTCAGATCCAACTCTGATCTTGCTATAAAAATCAGGCAGGCATAAAAAGAGACAGTGGAAATTTTATAATTACCAGCATATAATGCCTTTTGTAATGTGTGAATTTCCCATTTGTAGGTTTCCCAAATGTGGGGAAAAGCAGCGTTATCAATAGCTTAAAGCAAGAACAGATATGCAGCGTTGGTGTATCCATGGGGCTTACGAGGTAAACTGAGTTCCATTGTTGTAACATTTCATTTTGGATGAGTAAATATGGTTTTGGTTATTTTAAGGGAGACAATATTGTATTTCTATTTACTCAATTTTTCTACTCAGTGAAAGGTGGGGGACTGAGCCAGCGATTGACTTGGGAAAGAATGGATCTAGTAGAATAGCTGCCCACAATCTAGTTTGAAAGATGAGCAAATAGGTTGAGAGAGGGGAAAGCTGCCTTAGAAGTGATGTTCAAACCTGAACTTGAAGTGAACAGAAGTCTGCCAGGTAGAAGAAGGGAAATACTTCTGACAGGAAGCAGCATGTGTTTAGGTCATTATGTATATAAGCTGAAACACATAGTGTTTCACTTTAGAAGGGGAGTGTGTTTTAATGGTTTTAGATAAACATGAAGCAAATGATGATAAACTGGATCTGACAGACTGTGCTGAGTTTGTTCAATCCAACCCTGAGCTTCGTGTTCTCTCCCTTGTCCTTCAGGAAAACCAGTGCCCCGTCAGTTACCATCTTTCTTGTTCCAGGTGCATGCAGGTTGTCCCCTTGGACAAACAAATCACAATCATAGACAGTCCATGTTTCATTGTGTCTCCACTTAACTCTGCTCCTGCACTTGCCCTGAGAAGTCCAGCAAGTATTGAGGTAGTTAAACCACTGGAGGCTGCTAGCGCCATCCTGTCCCAGGCTGATGCCCAACAGGTAAAAGAATCCCCTTTTCCTTGAGTTCCATCTGTCTTTCATTGTAAGCTTTTTTTTTTTTTTAACAACAGTCATCTATATCAGAGAAATGAGTTTTGTTTTTCTTTTTTTAAGGTAGTACTGAAATTTACTGTCCCAGTCTTTACGAATTCTCTGGAATTTTTTACTTCACTTGCTCAGAGAAGAGGACTGCACCAAAAAGGTGGAAGCCCAAATGTAGAAGGCGCTGCCAAAGTGCTGTGGTCTGAGTGGACAGGGTAAGGCTTCTTTCTGTTGGCTTTTGGATGATCACATAGAAGAAAGGAACTGATTTTTGACCATACTTTGCTTTTAATACCAGTGCTTCCTTAGGTTACTATTGCCATCCCCCTGCATCTTGGACTCCTCCTCCTCATTTTAATGAGAGCATTGTGACAGACATGAAATGGGGCTTTGATCTGGAAGAACTGGAAAAGAACAATGCATACAGCATACAAGGTGAGCATGGCTTGTGTTAAATTGCTGTCTTTATCAGCTGCCAGGCCAGTGAAGGTCTTATCTGTTTATGTGGGCTGTGTTTACTTTTCCTAGCCATCAAGAGCCCTCATTTAGCCAATAGCATCCTTTTCCAGTCATCAGGTCTGACAAATGGAGTGATAGATGAAAAGGACATACCTGAACAATTGCCAAAACAGAAAAAACAGAAGCAGGAGCAGGGGGATAGCTATGAAGATGTCAACACGGATCAGGGAATTGTTGACGAAGAAGGTGATGTAAGTATGTCATGCATAAGTTGTTTAAGCTAAAGTAAGTTTTCTATAGAGTTATAATGTACAACAAATGCAAAGGAGCTAAAGGCAGAAATAGAAATTAAAGTGTATCTATTTCATGATCTAAGTTTAAGGCTTGCAATCATTAGTCTTGATTTTGTACATCCTTTACTGTGTACTTCCAGATACTTTTTCTGGGTACATAATTAACTTGGATTAGTGAGCAGGCAAGGGCTACCAATACTGTCTCTCTCCCACAGGATGAGAGCTTAGACATGTCCCCCGCAGAGGAGGCCTGTGAGGCACCGCCTGAGAAGTCTCAAGCAGGTGAGTGGGGTAGAAAGGTCTTCCAACAAAGGAGTATGATACAGAATTACTTTTACCTTTTTTTTTTAAACCTCACTTTTCTTTCCAATATAGACAAGCAGTCTACACCATCTTTTGTCTTGGATAAAACGACTGAAGAGGAAGATGATGCTTATGACTTCAGTGCAGATTATATATAATAAAGCCTTGCCCTGTAGAGTTTTTTGTTGGTGGTAGATTTTAACATTGTGAGCAGACTGCTAAGCTGTTCTGCATGTGATGTATGTACCAGTTTGTTAGTGGTTATGACGTAAGCTATGTAAATTTTGTGGGTATTTATATAACAATATATTTATTTTAAAAAAATCAGGCAACTTAGAAAGCGTCTAAATTCTATAAAAATACATCTCTTAAATAGTTAGTGGGTAGAAGTAAAGTTAAAGCAGATACCTATTGAAAAATGAAGTTTTCACTTTATTTACACAGGTCACAAAATTAAAACCAAGTAGCAGTGATGAACTGGCTGTAGCAACCGTATCTTAAGTCCATTCACCTCTGGTCAGTCAGCACCATCAGTAAGCGAACACTTGGTAAGGCAGATGGAGGCATATTTATTTATAGTCTGTCTGGGAAGCTGGCTGCCAAATGGGACAGTCTATCCTCTTTACCCAGCTGAAATGTCCCTTTTTCCATGGGTTGGTGAAGACAGGCACTGAAGCCTAGCTAGTGTTACTTCCCACACACACTGTCTTCCAGGATTTCCTGAGAAATGCTCATAGCACAATTTGTATTTTACTTTGTGTTTGAGATCTCCACATGTCTTCGGATTAGGCTGAATTTGCCTGTTGGGTCTGGAATATACCATTTTTCCCAGACATCAGTATATGAAGCAGTTCTTCCCCATGGCTTAAAGTGCCCATTCCAGTGGAGTAACTTGGCAGCCTTTACAAATTGGGGTGAATATCGTTTTCCAGCACTGGAACCTTACATTTAGAGAGAAAAAGCCAAATCATTGTACTAATCAGACACAAGACTTCAGGTAACTTAAGGGAAACAATATAGTCCATTCCTGAGGGTGGTCCTTAATAGACACTTTACTGCTTAGGCTCTTGGTTAATTACCTACTTACCAAGGTGGCGAACATTCCACATAGGGTCGATGGTGGAGTGCTGTTGGTAAAACACAATCAGCAAAGGTGGTGTTGTGATGCTGCCAGCCAGTGTTCTGCTATACAGTCCCTCTCTGGGTGGGAGAGAGAACAATTCCTGTTAGTCAAGACTGCCAGGGTTGAGAGAGAAGAGTTTTCAGAGCTAGGCCAGTTACACAACTTACTCTACATTGAGTTTCATCCATTTTTCCAGCTGGTTAGTTATATTCTGTCTTCTCCATTCTGTCAAGTTTGCAACAAAAACTCCAGGATTAAATGAGCAGGTGCTGGCTTTCATGGAAAGTTTACGAATTCTTTCCTTCTTATAGTCAAGATATCCAATGTAATTGTACTAAAAACACAATTGGGATATATAGTATGTTTACCGCTTCAAACAGTAATTTGATAACCATTCTGCTTACTTAAGATTTCTCAGATAATTAGCAAAGGGCTCTACATAAAGCAATTAGAAGTGACAGTTGGGATTGCAAGTTAGACAACAGGAACCTAAACATAAAGCCGGATATTCATGGAGAATTAGGTTGTCAAATCCATAAACCAATCTAGGAAAGTAGCCTTGAGTTTTAGGATGAAATAACCAGTGAATAAAATGTAGCTAAAAGGGGAGTACAGTAAATTTACGAGGTCTAATAAATAATTTACCTGGTTTCCTGCTCCACGGATGACAACTTTAGCAGAGGTTGAATCACAGTCTTCTGAAAATGCAGCTGCATGTCCTGGCTTCAGTGGTGTATTGTACAGGGCAAGAATATCACCTGAAAGAACATTAAGATTTAGGCTGGAAGTTGTCCCAAGATGCCTATTCCTCCTACTTTAAGTAGGTAAATTAAGGTTTTTAGTTGGAGTTTCAATATCAAACTTGTAGAAATTAGTAGAATGAAAGTGCAGAGAAGCAGAAGGATAGAGTAGACCTGATAAATAATGTGAACCAATTCAACATAATTAAGACTTATATATAATTTTCACACAACAGTAGGATACAAATTCTATTCAAGTTCCCATAGACTGTAAACTAGGAGATACTGGAACATGTCCAGGGACATAAAACAAGGTGCAAAAATTTCATGGTCTAAAGGTATTAAAATCAAACAGTCTGTTATCACTGTGGAATTATGTTAGAAATCAGTATCAAAAGATATTTGAAAATAATCCACGTACTTTCAAGTGAAATGTGAAAGATGACCTCTTATAGGGTAACCATAAGTAAGACAAACAGTACAGCCCACAATGGACAGAGAGCAGCAATGATGTGGCATTCTTCAGTACCTTGCACGATTACATCATCATCCATGTATATGGCCTTCTTTGCTCTGGGAACCAGAATTGGCAAGTAGAACCTTGCAAAGGTTAACTGGAAAAAGAAAGCATTGAAACAGGATTTTAAGTGGCTGTGCTTTTGTTTACTAGAAATTCCCAGGATGCTCTCAGCATCCATGCAAGAGAAGAAATCCAAAGGTCTCAGAACTTCCAGACATGGTCCCCAGGGAAGTATAATCTTTGCACTATACCCAGTTATGCAGGTATTCCAGCCATTTCCTAGTACTACCAAGTACAGACAAGGATGCATGGAACTCACTGGTTTCATGGATTCCCCCTGGTCAGGATCCTCCTTTACTTTCCCTTCCAAAAGTTTAGTGTCAAAATTCACAATTTTGTACCTGATACTTTTCAGGTTACTGCTGCTGAGCCAGGACCTGGTGAAAATAAACCACCAAATAACAGTTTTAAGTAATAATGCCCCAAATCACAACCATGTCTCTGCTTTCCAAGACCCTAATGCAAGAGAACTCCTGAGGACCACATAGGTGTCTTCAGTTGCCTTCACCTCTTGAGTTCTGGTATCCTCATCTGGTGTGAGTGTTCCCACTGAAGCCCCTTCCTGAACCAAGACTCTGTGGTCACAGAGCTCCCAAAGGCTCATGCTCTGATCAATCTGACACCAAAGCTGCGGTAGAAAAACTCACCATGGAACTGAGGTGTTCCCATCACCACACGGATTGTTCAACTTCTGTCCCTCCAAATATATGAGTGAAGGAAACGAGTCAGGTATGACGGTAGTGAAAGCTAGTTATCAACACGGGGGCAAATCCATCTGTTAACCTACACACTTACTGTGATGTGTCATTCCACCTGAGTCTAAGGTTATCAGACCTGTGAGCAAAGTCAGTGTTCCCTAAAGATGTCCAGCACATTTTTCCTAGGGCCATTTCAGATCAGCATTTTGTGGATATTTCTATTTTAATGCAATATTTGTTTCTATTTTAGATTGTTTCTTGAGTTTTTAAAAATGGAAAAATTATTCATAACAACTTTCACAAAAAACATGAACCATGAAGAAAGGCACAGAACTCTGACCACTATTAACCTATTAAAATTTTTTTGGAATAAACTTTGTAAATCTTAAGTCAAAACATCTTCAAAACAAATTTAAGGCTGTCCATCAGATTGGGTTCTATAAATCATAATACTAAGGATCATTTACTAAGCGATTATTATGTGGTAGGTAGTTTATATATATATTTTTTTCATTTACTTGATACAACAATCCTCTAGGTTGGATATTTACACCCCATACTTGGAGATGCAGAAATAGGCTCCCAGGGGTGAGGTCTATACTCACTTCACCATTCCACCTTGCTGTTGCTCCCCCGTCCCTTCCAACTCTAGACCAGAACTACTCGAGAGCATGTTCTGAAAGTAAGGAACTTGTAAAAGAATGTAAGTCAACACACTGCTTCCTTCATTGAGGAAGTTCTTATTAACAAAAAAAAAATATCTGCTTGAGTTTAACATCGTGCATAGTAAACACAGTTGATTCACATCTTGGCGTGAGCTGCTTACACATTTCTGCTATCAAGGAGACATATTTATGGTACAATCATTTGGAAAAAATGTGCTGTTTATATGTGGTATAATAATTATACAAGAAAAATGATTGTAAACACTAAAAAATAAATTACTCGATTGGCAGCTGGCCTGCTCTCAGAGTATCCCCTAAAGCAGGGCCATCAGGCAAGCAGAGCTCACCGGAGATGGTCTGCTGTCCCATTGAGTGTAACAATGTAGAAAATCACGTTGGAGCGAGTATTGTGCTGAATGCTATTTATGGCGGCAATGGCCCCTCCAAGCCTGTCTTCAGATGCAGCGATGACCACAGGAATCTCCTCTTCTCTCCCATCAACCACATGCTGGGGAGCATTTGGGATAAAGTCCACTGGCTGAAGCCCCACAATTCCTGAATCTGCAAAGAACGCACACAAGGAAGGTACTAGGGTACAATCTCAAGAGCTTTTCATACAGATCCCAACACATGAAAAGAGGTTAGCTGATCTGTACATCTGTGTCTCTTTTTCTCTTTTGCATATAGGGTTATCGTTACCATCTTTTTAAATTCCATATATATGTGTTAGTATACTGTATTGGTCTTTATCTTTCAGACTTTTGGACTCTGTGGGAGAAGGCGAGGGTGGGATCTTCTGAGAGAATAGCATTGACACAAATATACTATCAAGGGTGAAACAGATCGCCAGCCCAGGTTGGATGCATGAGACAAGTGCTCAGGGCTGGTGCACTGGGAAGACCCAGAGGGATGGGATGGGGAGGGAGGCGGGAGGCGTGATCGGGATGGGGAACACATGTAAAATGGCTGATTCATGTCAATGTATGGCAAAAACCACTACAATATTGTAATTAGCCTCCAACTAATAAATAAATGAAAAAAAGGAAAAGAGGTTAGCTGAGGGTTATACTTAGACCTCAATCTGTCTCATTACAATGTGAACCACACAGACCAGAAATTGTGTGTTTTCCTGTATGTAACCAGGCCTTGGAAAAGCATTTTAAAAAAACAGGCAGCAGATGGAATTATGATACACTACTGGTAGGAATATAACAGGGTCTTTTTAGACTATATTTTGGCAGTTTGTATCAAGAGCCTTAAACAGGTACATGGCTTCTGACCCAGTAATTTCCTTGTGTCTCTTAAGAACAAAACCTGAGAGGGAACCAAAAATCATAATTTTATTTACAACTATGAAAACCTAGAACCAGACTAAAAAACAGTTGTTTTTCAAACCATGAATCATGTCCCGGAAATATGAATGAAAGTAATTTAGTGGGTCACAATTAGAATGTGAGTAGGAAAACAGTTTCTGAATTGGAACAGAATGGTGACTTAGAAAATATCAGAATGTATCACACACAGCAAC